GACAATCAATGATACCAAAAGCATGTGATGGGGGGGGCAGGGAGGGGGTCGCAGAGATGACTATAAAATTAATAAATCTGTAGCCAAACTAATCAAGAGGAAAAAAGAGGACACAAATTACCAATATCAGAAATGATAGCGGGGATATTGAAAGGATAGTAGGGGAATACTGTGAATAAGTCTCTGGCACTAAATTTGACAACTTAGATGAAATTGACAAATTCCTTGAAAGGCACAAACTTTCAAAGCTTACTCACAAAGAAATAGATAATCTGAATAGTTCTATATCTTTAATAGATATTGAATTAGTACTTAAAAATTTTCCAATGAAAACTCCAGGCCTACATGGCTTCACCCTTGAATTCTGCTGAACTTTTAAGAAATAAATAATACTACTTCAGTACAAACTCCACCAAATAATAGAAGAAGAAAACATTCTTCACAACTCATTTTATGAGGACATTATTACCCTAATACCAATACCAGGCAAAGACATTACAAGAAAAGAAAATCATGAATCAATGTTGCTAATGGATATAGGTGCAAAAATCCTTGACAAAATGTTAGCAAATTGAATCTAGCAATATATCCAAAGAATAATACAGCATGATCAATTGGCATGTATCCCAAGAATTCAGGTTTGCTTCATCATTCAAAAACTAATTAATGTAATTCACCACATTAGCAGACTAAGGAAGAAAAATCATATGATCATCTTAACACCTGTAGAAAAAGCATTTGACGAAGTTTAGCCTTTCTGAGCCAGCCCTGATGGCCTAGCAGTTAAAGTTCGGCACACTCGTCTGTCAGTAGCCATGCCATGGCTCACACAGAAGAACCAGAAGAGCTTACAACTATACACAACTATTTATCAGGGCTTTAGGAGGGGAGAAAAATGGAGGAAGATTGGCAAGAGATGTTAGCTTGGTGTGAATCTTCCTCTGCAAAAAAAAGAAAACATGAAGACTTCCTCCATCTCATATTGTTTAATTTTTCTGAAAATCGTAAAACTAATATAAATTTTTTGAAAGAGAAGAGTTATGCATAAATTCATCAAGTAAAAATAGAAGAGGTTTTAGTTGACCCTCAGAAATGTATTAAACCAGTGGTGATCATGTTGTTTTTAACCTACAGGCTTTCCTGGGATTTACTTTCAGTAGATGTCACTTGCTAGTCCTGTCTGGTTTCGGTAAGGTGACCTTTGCCACCAAACTTAGTTCTTAACAAATTTTTCACCTATGTGAGGCATAATATATACACATATAACTACAAAGAAGTGTTATTGATTGGATGGATTGTTGGTAGTAGTAACACGCATGGGTTTCATCCTTAAAAAACTACTTTCACATGTGTTATAATTGTTTCCTATGTGGTAGATAGGGCAACTGTTTCATTTCATAAATTAAGATACTGAGAATACACCTAATAATAACGTTAGTAGCTGACATTTCGTGAGCACTTGCCATGTGCCAGGCATTGTTCCTTTCTCTTTGTACTTTGCAGGTATTAACTTTACTTAATTTTAACAACTCCATGAGGCAGGCATTCTATTTGTCCTCATTCATAGATCAGGAAACTGAGGCTTAGCGAAGTTAACCTGGCTAAGTCTATAAGGAGAGCATCTAACACCTAGTAAGTGCTCTCAACCACTGTATGATGCTGCATCTGGAAGAAGTTGGGTGTCTCACAAGTCACATTACTAGTAAGTGTCAGAGGCAAGACCCAAACCAGGCCTTCTGACTTAGAGCAGTTCACAGTCTACACTACCATGTTGTGTGATCTATTTAATTACAGTCATGCATGGCTTAACAATGGGGTTTCTTCTGAGAAATACATTGTTAGGTGATTTCATCGTTGTGCAAACATCATAGAGTGTACTGAAGGGGAACAAAATTTGCCACCCCAAAATGTGTCTCTTTAACATGAGGATTATTTTAGGCTGATTATTTTTAAGAAACAGCAGACTCAAAGTTTTTCTTGTTACCTCCCCCTCATCTGCCTAAAAGAATTCAGATAAAGAAAACCTGTCTCCTCAAGCAAGCATCACATGAACTAGGTGGTAGACAGGGAGGACGCTAGAAAAGCCTGTTTGTTGTGCTTCTCTGGGTTCTTCTGTTTCTGTGTGGCCAAACAAATACTTGTTTTCCAAACATTTGCTCCTTTTCACCTACCTGTGAATTGCCTTCTTCCCTTTGAGTCCCTGACTCTCCTCACCCCCAACATCTCCTTTTGTCTTTAGCCAAGGATGGTATTTAAGGTGAGGGCTTTGGCCATTTTGGCGAGTCATTCAGTTTTCCTGGGCTTCTCCCATGTATACATGTTATTAAACTTTTGTTTGTTTTTCTCCTATTAATGTGTCATGTCAATTTAATTCTTAGATAAGCCAGAAGAATCTAGAAGGGTAGAGGAAAATTTCTTCCTCCCCTACAGTGCTTACACAAACCTAGGTGGTATAGTCTACAATACACCTAGGCTAAATGATATTAATCTTATGGGACTACCATCGTATATGCAGTCTGTTGTTAACTGAATTGTCGTTATGTGGCACGTGACTGTATACATATTTGATCTATATCTTGCCTTTGAGTTACACTAACGTGTCATTCATTCCCGTTTTACCCAAAGGTTTCACTTTAAATTTTTTCGATTATCAGCTATGTTGTGTGCAAACATTTTCAGAGGGAAAAACGTTATCTATTTTAACAGTTTTGATGGTTGCTATGGAAGTTGATGAAAGCTACATATCTCTTATAGTCATCATCATGAAATTTACTATTGTGTGCAAAATTCTAACCTAGAAGTAGGAAATACAGGTTTGTGTCTTTGAATGAATTGTTTTGCGTGCTTTGCTAGTGTTGCAAATGAACTTTGGGGCTAAACAACTTACACCTTTCGCCTCAAGTATTTTCTATTAAGAAAACTAAGCCTTTTGTTACAGAAGAATTGCTGGGGACAACATGATGAAGTAGAAGAAACGTCTGGGTTCCAATCCTACGCCTTATACTGACCTGGCTAACCCTGCCCCAGCATCTCCCTCTGATCCTATTGAGTCGTCTGTAGGACAGAGATTTTATCAGCCTCGTAGGATTGTTGTGAGAATTAATTAATGGTATATGTAGAGCACACGGCCCATAATAAACATGAGTAGATGTTCGTTCCCTTCCTTTTTGAACATCTGGAACATACCCTTCTGGAAGTGGTAGTTGTATCATTTTCTAAAGTGGTGTGAGTTTGAATGCAAAAACATTAGAATGTCAGCTTTAAAATAAACAAATGAGAGCCAGTTTGAAAAAGGAATTTACTTAGAAACTGAGTCACCAGCCTGCTTTGCAGCTCTCCTGGAAATGGGAGTTCCTTGTGCCTGAGAGGCAAGTCCATTTAGGCCGCAGAGTGAACAAAGCTAGACTATCATTGGGTTACTTTGTTCTTTGATGATGTGTCATGTAAGCACTGTCTCTCATGTGGGTTTGTAGTGTCTGTATTTGAATACTGTGTGTTCCGCTTAGCTTTGATTAGATGCGTTTTTATCTTGATCAGCAATCTCCAGAGTGGATGGATACACATACCCTAGAGCTTGCACATACTCCAGAGATTGAAACGACAGTCCATAGAAGTATGGGAACAAAATATTAGACGTTTTATTTATTCATCTACAAATAAAGAGGTTTAGTTTTACTAGTTCTTAATATTGGCGTGGACAACCTGCCAGGTCTCTGTGTCAGCTACTGTAGTCCAAGAGTCCTGGGGAGGAGAGAGGAGGAGTTCCTCTTCTTGAAGGGCTTGGTGTGGGTACCCTCACTTTTTCATTCACTTAAGGTTTATTGTAATGCACATTATAATGGTTATGATATCTAGATTTAACTAAACTATTGCAGTATGTTTTCTATTTATGTGTATCTGTCTTCAGAGACTTAGTCACTGTATTATAAAAATCAATTGAAAAAATCATTTTGAGTGCATGCTGTGTCTAAACTGTATGAACAAAATTTTATCCCAGAATTCCCAAAAAGAGCTTAAAATCTGGCTTTGGAAAAACGAGACCCGTAGGCAGATGCTGAAAAACCAACCTGTCATTGACGAAATAAGCAACTTGCAAAGGAGCTGGTACCAGCAGACTGCCCGAGATAAATTATTTATCTGGACTCAGCAGCCATCGGCTGCCTGTCTTCACTCATTGCCACAGTCTCTCAAGGCAGAAGCTGTTAGGGCCCTTGTTCTACCTGGGTTCCTTTCCTTTCTAGAATAAAAGTATTTCAGTAGCATTTGTGTCGTATTGTGCACATTCCACTAGAATGGTTAGGAGAAAAGTTATTGTACTCTTGAACAATATTAATATTTATAATATTAATTATATTATTAATTATAATAAATACTAACATTTAGGAGAGTAACCTTGGATGAAAATTTATTAAAATGTTTGCAAATGTTAGTAATTTAATATAAAATAAAAACATTCAACTTTTATTTAAAAACAGATGTTTTTATATTTTTGCATGTCTGACTGTAAACACTTGTTATTTTCTTGACTAAAAAGGTATCTACAGTCTTCTTGGTTTATTAACATTGTGATTTTTAAATGATTTCCTAAAACATCATTTTAACCATTATCGTCCCGTTCCTTTCTTATTAAGCCTTTGAGAGTTACTGTTAAGCCTCAGTATTGACAGGTTTTAAACTTGAGCTTTTTCTTCCCACCTTCTGATGGCTGCTGCTTTCTAATTGAAGTAAAAACGCAAGGTGAGATAGCACAAGAAAGAGCAGAGCAGAAGCCTAGTTAATTCACAGAATGGATAGTCAGCCCTGAATACTCAGGGATTGGCTCTGATTCGGCCATCAAACCCTTGTATAGGGAGGACTGCATTTAGGAGAGCTAGTGAGTTAAAAGCCAGGTCACTCTAAAAAATAAAATTATGATAGTTTGGCTACCATGTGAGAAAGGCATCTACTGAAAATAATCTCATGCATTTGCTTGTTTAAAAAAATAACTCTTTACATTCCAGGTGATCACCTTCTTTAGCTCAAGGTTGCTACAGGCTGGAGCTGAGCTGTCAGTGGAACGGGTCCTGGAAATCATCAAGCAAGGGGTTGTTGCCCTGCCCAAAGACAGGCTGAAGGTAAGACTGGCAAAGGAAACACGTACTGCGGTATCTATCCCTCGACGTAAGTACTAGTGTCTGAGCAGGCTCTACTCAGAATCATGCCACTTACCCAGTACTTGCGCTAGAAAAGGCTCTTTAAATATCACCTTCTGTACACTGTATAGGTACACAGAACTGGGATGAAGAAGGGTTCTGACAGTTTTCCACAAGAAAATAGCAAGAGAACGAGTAATATCTTCACACCACTACGTGTCCTTTGAGTAACCACTGCATATGCTATGAGTAATTCATATACTATGAATAAAGGAGCACCTTATTTTTTTTAACCCTGTGCAATAAGTTAGTCTTGTGGGTATCATCAAGGGTTGATGGGAAGGTGGTGGTGATGAAGATGACTACAGCCATAGCTATACTTACATGGTGTTTACTCAGTGCCATGTGGGGTTTGAAGTGTCTTAGGTGTGTTCACTCATTTGACCCTCACAACAACCCTTTAAGGGAGGGAGTGTTGTCATCCTAATTTTTTAGATGAGGAAACTGGTGCACAGAGAGGTTAGGTAACTTACCAAAGCCACACGACTAGAAAATTATGGACCTGGGAGATTCATACCCAGGCAGTCTGGCTCCAAAGTAAGTCCATGTTCATGCTCACCACGCTGTTTGCTGCGTGCTTAGGCACGGCTATGGGCAGAGAAGGCTTCAGGGAAGAGGTGGGGGAAATATTGTATTCAGAAGGCATTTGCATTTGTGTGTTAGATGTGTTCCTGAAGTGATCTCATGGTGTAAACTCATACTTCAAGACTAATTTTCCCATAGGAAAAAATGGAAAGGCCCTATTTTTCAGGGATGCATGAATGTACAGCCTTATAGCCTATTTTTACTTTACTATTTCTTTTTAATTTTTTCCTACGTTATCTTTAGTTTTTTGTAGAGTGCTCATTCCTAATTTAACAACACAAGGCATCATAGTGGATGTTTGGCCTTCTTCATAGTGTTTTATCACAACTAACTTCTGTTGCAAAGTTTCTGTTTTGGGGGCTGTGTTTTTCAGCACTATCACTAGAACCAGTGCTTAATGAGCGCTGGAGAGATATTGTTGTAGGATGTGAAAATATTTTCAGTTATTACAGCGGAGTTTGTAAAACAGCAGCACGTTAGTCATCATATTCACTCTCAGAAGCTCCACGGCACGTAAACAGCAGTGAGGTTCACCCAGCGCTGAGCAAGGGCGGCACCACCGTGTGGCAATAGCACAAAGCTGATTACCATTACCGGGACCCTGAAGATTTGACTTTACTCTATTCTTAACAATTCTTTAAATGTTGGGAATTCGTTATTATTGTTATCTCCATTCTTACGTAAAGTAAGGGCTTGGGGGTTTTTTGTACTATTTCGAATTTTCTTGAACTATGCCATATGAACTGGTACAAAAATCCATGAAGATAAGAGTGGCTGCTTGTAGCCAGTGATGGATCTTGGTGTCTAAGCTAAGTTGAAAAAGTAGGGGAACAATCAGGAGACTGTAAGAAAAGGATCACGCAGTGGAGTCAGGGAAAGGGGGATTTTGATGAGATCAGAGAACTGGCATGGTGGAAGGAATAGAGATTGGATTAGAGAGCAGTATAGTTATACTGAAGAGGTCAGAAGTGGAGCAGATCTTGGTGATAACATGGGCTAGATTTGGCCATGAGTGGTGGACTGAGGTGATATGGATGTGAATGAAAGTCAGTGTGATTGAGCCAGTTAATGGACTTGACGCCAAGGACGGGTCATACACATGGGCCTCCTAGGCACCCAGGGTGGTAAGCCATGGGGTGGAGAGAAAGACTGTGAGTCAAATACTGCAGTAAATGGGAGAGTAGCCTAGAAGTCAGTAGGTGGCAGCTACAAGGATGAGAAGCTGGGCTCAGCCTTATGTGAGCAGAGCTTTTTGCTTAAAGGTAGAGGAATAATAGCCAAGGAAAGCCAAGAGGACGCCAAACCCACTCCAGACCCCGAAGGCTGTGGAGTGAGAAAGAATGAGCAGCATCTCCTTTCAAAGGCTCCAGGGGAATCCGTCCTGAGGGAAAAGCCAGATTTCAGTTAAAGAAGTAAGGAGGTAAGGCTTAGTGAGGTTGGATCAGGGGAGAGAAAGCACAATGCAACATGGGGACAATTACAGGAAAAGATGGCTGACTGGAGGGCCTCATGTGTAAGGCAATGACCAGTGATGAGGAGGACATGTGACTTGTTAGGTTTAAGCTTGCCACAAGATTCCTTCGACACTGAAGAAGTCTTTGTCAGGCGCCTGCTCTGTGACAGCCATTGCTTTAGGTGCTTGAGTACATCAGTGAGCAAAGATCTCCGCCCTTGCAGAGCTCGCAGTTTAGCAGGAGGAGACAGGTAGTGAACTATCAGCATAATAAATAACAGAGGGATGCAGTGTACTAGAACGGGGTGAGTGCTCTGGGACATAAAGAAAAGATGCAGCAGGTTAAGGGAGTTTGAGATTCTTGGGGGAGGCTGTGGTGGGAGAAGGTTGTGGAATTGCAAAGAGCGGTCTGGCCGACAATCAACAAAGGTAAAAAGGAGGTGAGAGAGTTCAGCATGCTGATTCAGAGGAGAGTCCCAAGCAGTAGGAACAGCCACTGAGAAGGTCCTAAGCTAGGAGGATGCCAAGCATGTTGGAGAAAGAGCAAAGAAACCTAGGCACCTAGAACTGTGTGAACAAAGGAGGAATGATTGGGGGTGAGGGAGTACAGTGAAATGGGGAACCAGTACACATTTTTGAGAAGAGAGTGGAATGATGTGGTTTATATTTTAACAGGATCAGTCTGTCTGCCATGTTGAGACTAGACTATAGGGAGACAATGAAAGCAGAAAGACCAGTTGAAAAATTGTTGCTTGACTTGGACCATGGTGGCAAGGTGGAAGCGCCAATAGAGTTAGTCCAAGAAATTGTCTGGTGGGCAGAGGAGAGCCTTTAGGCCTCTTAGGAGACAACTACGGTCTGCATTGATTACAAAAGCTTCAGGGAATGGTGGCTAGAACATAGGTTCTGATGGACTGGTTAGAGAACCGGTCTGCAAGTATTGGAAGAGTTGTTTATGGAAGTGGCTTTGAGCTTGATCTGTGTGGTCTCAAGGACAACTTTCAGACGTTGGTTGACCAAGTCTGTCATGGTTAGAAGCCTGGCTCTGCTTTGCTAAATGTTGTGTTGCTCGATAATGTGTGTGGGTCGATATGCTACTAGTGTATAGAGGCTGTCTGTACTAGACAATTCAGAGGAAACTTTTGGATGCCACGCCTTAAGACAATCTTGAAAACTTTCAGAGAATCACCACAATTGTGAAAGAACACAAGGAGTGATCAGAGGAACTCATACTGTTCTTACTAGCCTTAAGAAGGCAAGATTCGAGCAGAAGAGACTTGTCTTCAAGTACTGGAAGAATTGTTTATGAAAGCAGATTTGGACTTGTTTCTTGTGATCTCAGGAACAGGACCATTTGGTAGAAGCTACATACAGGGACCTGCATTTCAGTCCCATATAAGGGAGAACTTTCTAACAGATGGAATTATTTAGAGATGGAATAGACAGGTTCCGTCTTAGATGCAGCTCTTATATATTGGTACTAGCTGGTTAGAGCAGTGAATGGAGAGGGATTCTAAGGCTGGATTCAGGTTCAGCGGGAAGAGTGCTGAGATCCATTAGCAATGCCTGCTGTTGGCAACAAGAGCAGAAAGTAGGGAGCACGTGTGTGATTATTTGCCATTCCAATTGTAAAGACTCAACTATTGCTTGGGAAATCCAACTATGTGACTTTTAAGAACCTTTCCATTCCTGATAGTGTAATTCTGGTTATGCATATACAAACTTGTTCTCCACAAAGCAGGAAACTGCCTCAATTTTTGCTAACAGATTTTTCTCTCAGAAGATGTGAGAAACAGTAAGGGAAAATTAGTAATCTTCGAGTATTTTTTATGAGAAAGAGTACATTTATGACAAAGAGGTCACCTTTCAGTTCCTAGTATCAGAGGGCATAGTCAGATCTGTATGCCAGAAGAAACATAAATTGCTAAAAGTTGGATGTGACTCACAACAAGAAAAAGTATGGTTCAGGAGGGATGGAGAACTAAAAGGGGGTTGACTGCTCAGTCGCTGATCGCCCTGTGCGGACAAGTGTGAGAACTGCATTCGTACTGGAGTGTCTGTTGTCAGCTCTGCATCACCGTCACCCCTTCTCCAGTCTCCTCCACGTCACAGAGGAAGCACCGGAATGCTCTTCCGGAATCCTCCCTCCTCCCTCTGTAGTTCTGAGTGAGAGTCTGCCAAAGAAAGGCTTTTGCATGAGATTTGGAAGGTTGAAGAGAAGAAGAAACCGTTATTCTCCAGAGGCAGCTCCTGCCCTCCGCCTGGCTTAGTGCTGTAGACGGCGAAGGTTGTTGATGGCTCCCCAGGGACTGAGGTGCGCAGTGACTTGCAGTGAGCTCTCGAGAACCATCCACTCCACTGCAGAAGACTGTTCTGTTGCAGCGTCCCTGCTCTTTGCCTACCTCACCCTTTCCAACAGTTGCAGAAGCCTCTATTTTGCATATGAAATCCTTTCTACTCGAGTTATAAGAGTAGCTTCTGTTTTCCCTGCCAAACCCGTCAGGGAAAAGTAAAACCCCTGATTTCAAACAGAAAGGAATTTGATATAGGGAATTAAAAAATCGTTGAAAAGACTGGGAACGCCAAGTTCAGGGAAAACCACTGCTGGCTTTCAGGAAATCAGAAGTGGCAGGAATGTCATCACCAATGGCCTGCAGCATCGTGCGGGGGTCTGCAGGAAGATTTCTAGAAGCCACTGGCAAAACTTTACTTCTGCTGAAGCCCACTGGCCTGCCTGCCATTGTTAGTAGAGCAACAGTGACCTCTGTTTCTCTTCTACCTTCCGAAATACACACCAGTTCTTCTCATTGCCACAATCTAACCTAAAGCCCTGCTGGAGATATTGTAGGAGATGTCGTTTCCAGCTTTCACAAAATCCTGCGCT